AAAATTAAGTTCCATTGGATTTTTTTTTTTTTTTTGGTGCCTTCGAGTCAGTCTTTGACTCCTGATACAACTGCCTAATTCAGCAACATTCCAGAAAAAATGTTACATTTTTAATCTGTGATTTTTCAGTTCAACTTGAATGATTAGTCATAATAGGAAAGTATAATGTGCTTTCAAATGATGGTGGCAATGAATAAATTAATTTGTTTTGCTAGCTTTTTCAAATATAGTATAAGCCTTAGGGCTTGGGTCCCTAATGTGATGTCCAGGAGCAGCAATGTGCCTACCAATACATTTATTAACGTCTGCTAAGAACTCTACCGTACCGTTTTTTCCCTTCCTACCATTTTTCCTGCATGTGCAGGGTCCACTTTTTTCAGATCAACCAAATGTTGATCTGTTGGTTGCGACAGGAATTGATTGACCTGTTTGATTTGCAACAATGGCAGGGAAGCTATCATATTCCAAAACACAGCAACAGCATCAAATTTCTAACAATGTCTCTGGACTCTTATAGGCTCCTACAGCATTTTGGGAAATTAAAATGATCAGTGGCTGCAACTTAGGGTTTTATTTACCTTCTAGTAAAGATGTTTTGTGACTAACCTCACATACCTTAACAGCCATTTGGTGAGAATGCCTGTAATATTCTTTTAAAATGCTAAATGTGCTCACTGATTCAAAAAGTTTAGGACCCTGGCTTAGGGCTTAACACCTTATTATAGCTGTCTGAATTTTTAGGAAATTTATCCTGATTGTTAGGTTCCTTGATGCATTGGCAGTCCATATGCAGCCAAACAGAATTCTGATCACTGGAGTTGTATAGTTTTCATTCTGATTGGATTTCTTGAGAGAGGTTGGTTTATGCTCAGCTCTTTTTTTAAGTCTACAAGAGGTTTTTTTTCACCCAAAATTAATTGTTTGGTTTTCATGTTGCAACCTCTTACAGATTTTCTGCACACCAAGCCCCACAGATAGTAAGAAAACACTCTCCGATAGTATGTTTGTATTGTTAGTCATACTTTCTTTTTTATAATGTTCACCAGAGATGTTTCTTCTTCCCATTTGTAGAATTAGTAGTCTAGAATTACTGGAATTCCAATCACCAAAGAAATCCTGATGAGGGACATTGACAAGGCTCTTTCTACCCATTAGTTTACCTTTTAATTATTAGGTTTTATCCTCTTTTGTTCACAAAAATAGGATGCTTAAGTGTGATGCACCTTAAAGAGTTAAGAGGGGAATGATCTTACTCATGTGGTAGCAATTTACAGAGTAAATAATTCATCTATGCTATTCCATCTCTGCTCAAGTCCTTACACAGACTCTCCCTACCCCAGCTCTCCAGATAATGTGAACTTTAAATTCCATCACAGGGCATTGAGTTGGGCTGATAGAAGAAATTGCATGACGAGTTACAAGTTGGAGAAGGCTGCTCCACTATCACCTTTTGGCATAACTAAGAAATAGGACCCACCTGAGACTCTACAGATAAGACCATGATCTGGTCTTAGTTACTCATGCTACATTTGGGCAATAGTATAAACGGTCCCAGCAAGATAATTGGGAGAGAAACAATTTATTAAAAAGCAGAAGCAGAATTTTGGCCTTTTCCTATTACTTGTAGTTTCTATCTGTCCTATGGAAAAATGTTCTTAACTTCTACCACCAGATGGCTTAACAACCACTATGAACTATATTATAATATTCATTTCCTTGTCTGTCTGGTTTGCATATTCAGTGGTGAGTAAATGGATGTCTCTTTTTTTCACACAAAAGCAGGGAAAGGCAATCTGTCCTGGCCAGAAAGGCCAATAACAAGGATGGTTGTTGTCCAAAAGCTTTCTATACCTGAACAAAAGCTGTGTGTATGTGTTTGGGAGCGCAGTTAATTGCTCCTATGCCTTATTCAGCCACATTCCTTCACTACAGGGACCTTTCTCTCTGATCTAATACCACAGTGGAACAAAAGCTTCACATCATCATAATGTAGTGTTACCAAAAGCAAGTCATTGATGTGGTGCATGGTAAAACAGGTGGCATGCTAATAATATAATTATGACAGTAGTCCTGTCAGTGATGCCAAGAGTTCCATACTTCATGTTCTGGCTTGAAGTGAAAGTGTCGGGATCAGATAATTATCCTATGAAGCCCAGTTTCAAATATAATATTTGCATCTAAGTCTCAATAAGAAATAAGTGTTCTGCAGTAGTTTTATGGGTATTTACTTGATTGAATTAAACCAAATTTAAGCATGATCTCATAGGTCCTGTTGGCTGTGAAGTGGACATTAGGCATTGCACCTCACTTCTATTAAACTTGCTTAAAAAAAACGCAGGAGACTCTTTAAAACTGCCCAACCATATCTATTCTTCCATAATATGTCATGTAAGACATTGTGACTAACAGTATGACACCATTATAACTACATACTAAGATCTGAATGCTTTTCCATTATGTATTTTTTAGTACCAGACTAAAAAAAATCACGCACAATGAACAGGTATTTTTAGGCTTTGGGAAATCCTGAAATTTAAAGAGATGGGGGGGGGGAGTTTAACTGGTTAAGTTAAAAAAACTTAAATGTGCACAGAATCCTGATGATTGAGTTGGAATGAAATTGGGGAATGATTAGACTAGTGATAGAATGGAGTGGGGGGAAACATATCCAGAAAAGCTCTACCCTTTTAACACTTGGTTAATGCTTTGTTGTAGGTGTATTTGGAATTAAGTCTCAGTGAATTCAATTGGATTTACTCCCAAATAAATGCCTGTGGGCTTGCAGGTTGTTCCTGTGGCAGCCATTTGGCAAGAAGAGCAAATGTAAATATAAAATCTAATTTTCTGAAGCATGTATTTAGTTTTTATGCTTTTTTAAAAAAATAAAATATGCACGGTGTCCTATTGATTGACTGATTATGCACCATTAAGTTAGTGTCTACTCTTAACATCCACATAGACAGATATTCTCCAGGAGGAACTGCTCCCAAACTGGTCTTTCAACAGTGCACCCAATGCCACTGTAATTGAATTCATCTACCTAGCCAGTGTTCATCTTCTTCTTCTCTTTCCTTCCAGCATTAGACCCTTCTCCAGAAAGCTAGGTCTTTGCATAATGTGTCCAAAGTAGGATAATTGAAGCCTGATAATTTGTGCCTCAAGTGAAAACTCTGGGTTGATTTGTTTGATGAAACATTTGTTTTCTTAGCTGTCCATGGTATTCTCAGGAGTCTTCTCCAACACCAACATTCAGAAGCTTCAACACATATTTTATTCATTTTACTTTGGTTGCCTTTTAAAAGACTTCAGAGTAGAATTTATTACATTGATGCATAAGTGGTATAATTACATAAATGCATTGAATCAAACGATCACCTATTTTTGCAAGACTGAGTAGGCAAGATTGGAGCAAAAGATGGAATTATATGATCTTACTCTTAATACATTAGTAATACGTTGGGATTCAAACTGTGCTAAGTGTAAACCATGGTTTTCAAACCACAATGGTTACTTTTGCGTACTATGCTACAGTACGGATAGGCAGTATGCAGGAGATCCCTAACATTCTTCCTAGAAAGATCCTGATAATGGGACTTCTCAAATGTGACAAAAGGCCAGTTTTGGCTGCTATAACTGTTTTGCCTGAATTAAGAGACTTTTAAGTATGGGAATGGGAGTAAAGACCCCATGAGACAAAATGCATGTTTTTACCCTTTAAATCTTCCAAACCTTAATGCCAAGTGAAAAATTATCTCTACCCTTCCAATGACATCCCTACATTATGGGAAACCTTTATGTTGCCCACTGGTACATCAAAGTACATCATGTACCTTTGTGTGTGTGTGTGTGTGTACGCGCGCACGCGCACCTTTGAATCACTGTTAACTCCTGACGAGTGCTGGTCAAGTCCATGAAGTTTTCTTGGCAAGTTTTCAGAAGTGGTTTACCCTTGTCTTCTTCCTAGGGTTGAAAGAGAGTGACTGGCCCAAGGTCACCCAGCTGGTTTTGTGCCTAAGGAGGGACTAGAACTCATGGTCTCCTGGTTTCCAGCCTGGTGCCTTAACCACTACACCAAACTGGCTCTCATGTACCTACAGGCTCCAAATCAGAAAAAGGTTCCTATCTGTTCTCCAAATGAACCCCAATACATTCTTATAAGGCTTAATAACATGTGAATCCCAGCCCTTTGTCCTATATTATCACAGGCAAGGCACTATTGCATGTGAGGCCTTATGCCAGTAGCTAGGTTCTCATACTTACCAAGCTAGACCTCTAGAGGAGATGAGACTGATGCTATGAAGGGGTCTCAGGGAATACTGGGTTGTTAGGAAGTCTCAAAACATCTCAGAAGGCATCTGCAAACCGCTCTTATGTTATTATTTGTTACCGCAGTTCATAAATCTGTGCAACTCCAGGTAACAAGAGACTAAAAATGGCAAACAATTAGCCAAAGTAATCAAAACACATCACGCTGAAGGCAATTCACACATTCAAACATTTTAAAAGGACTCACATGACCACCTGGCCCAGGGTCTGGAGAAAAAGCCAAGTCTTCAAAATGTTTTAAAAGGCAGGTAGGGTCCAGCCCATCTGGATGTCAGGGGAAATGCTGTTGGAGCTGATGGAGAAGGCATGCCTTCTGGGTCCCATAAGATAACACTTCTTAATAGATGGGACACAAAGCATGTTTTTCCTGTTCAATCTTATCAGATGAGCAGAGGAAAGTGGAGACAGACCCACAAATAACTAGGTCCTATGTCTGTACTGTTGCCTGGATGCTGTTTTCGTGTAAAAGTGTAGGAG